CTTCCCTTCCCTTCCCTTCCTTTTCGGTACTGGGGATCGAACTCTGCCCCTTGTGCTTGCGAGGCAGGCAGTGGAACCACTGAGCTAAATCCCTGGCATTTTTTTTAATTATTATTACCTATTTTCTGATTTGTAGCTGGGATGGTTCACCTAGGAGAAACAGAAAAATGTGTGTGTCTCTTCCCCCAGGCCACTTGCATCACTAAAGGCTCAGCATAGCCCCCAAAGCCTGTGTGCAGACTGAAGACACAGGGCCTCTTTTTCCTTTGTGCCACCACTGGTACCACTGCTGGCTGCAAGACAGTTGGGGACAAGCTCGTGTGTGATGTGAACTTGGCCAGCAGTGTCCATGTTGAAGAACCACTTTATTTTCAAGAAAACTGGTATTTTAGACAACTCATTAATCTGAGTTGAAATATAATTATAAAGATCTGTTTGCATAGTGTCTAGTAATTTGTTTTAGCTTTTATCCTCTGGTTTGTCATCCCAAATAGCTGTTAGCGATGCTTTTCTTAGCCTTCTACTTACACATGTGCTTAAACATTCAGCTGGGAAGCCAGTTAACAGTCTGAGGCTAAGGGTACACATTCGAGTGTCTGCATTTTGTGCTTGTTTCAGATCTTGGTTTCTTTCTTGTGCTGTCATGATGGAAAGATGGAGGTGCTGATTGTAAGCTTCTTGCCCAGGACTTGAACTTTCAAACATTTATGAGAATAAGAACTGAATGCCTACTCTAAAAGAAATAGGGGAAAAAATTTTCAAAAGAAACTGTCCTTTTGTTTCATAAAATAAAATAACTTGATGTACTCCAGGATTTCCAGTGTCTATTGGGTATTCTTTTAAAAAAAATCCTTATCACGATGACTGGCAAATATAGATCTTTAACTTCCTTGTGTTTGGGTGTATGTGTAGTAGCCTTTGAGTAGCGGAAGAAATAGTTTTTGTGTAAGCACAAGAGATTTCTATTCCATTTGAAGCACAAATACCACTGAGTAAGGAGAATTGGAGCTGAGATAGAATCCACTTGTGTGACCCTTGCTAGTGAAATACTGTGTGTACAGTGTGCAGCCTTTTTAGAGGCCCGCAAACAAATACAGCACCTGTGGATGCACTGACTCCTGCAAAGTTGCAGGAACAGTTTCCTTAGTACACAGCACCTGGCTCACATGAGGGATGGACCAGGCTTTCCTGTTGTACTAGTCAGTTGTCAAGGAAAGGACAATCTTCTCATCTTTTCACCTAACACATTAGAGACCTTTGCAGACCATCATTATTGTGACATGCTTAACACTTTTGTTGGTACTCTGTTTGCACTGATTTTCTAACTTCATTTACTATAGTAATAACCGATTTATGTTTACATTTTATTCAGTTCAGTTTTATGATACTGAAATGCAGCTTCTTTTCATATCCCTCCATAGAGATCTAGTGTTTTCCCCACAAGTTCTGTCAATTCAAAATTTTTGACAACAGTGTTCATCTACTGGTAAGACATAGGTAGACTTCTCATGTACTATTGGAGATAGGTATATGTCTCTCTTATGAAGTCATTTCTATGGTTGATCTGTAATTTAATGTCTAGGGGGCATCCTTACAGTGAAAATACTTGATGAGATGTAACCTTCAGTTCCTTAAGCCATAAACTTGTGTTCATACAGGTTTTGGTTGTTTATGAGATGAAGCTGATTCATGTGAAGCATTGGTCTTAACTAGAACAGCGTTCTTACCCATGGCACTGCAAACATCTGGGGCATTTCTGAGGGCTGTCCTGCATGTCCATCGTAGGATCTGAACAATGTTCCTGGCCTTTACTGGCTTGATGTCATAGACCCCTCCCCCAGCCAGTGTGACAGCCAGAAGTCCAGATGTTCCTAAGTGTCCCACAGAGGCAAAATCTTCTCTGGGTGAGAACCACTGGATTACAGCAATATTTTGCAAGTAATAAGTACATCTGCTTTTTGCAGTGGTCTTTTCTTAATAGATTTCACAGGTTGCAGCCAGGCTGACAAATATCTGTGCAAGCATAAATATAAAACTAATCTTTAGATGTCACATTATAATTTTTACAGCGCTGTCCCGAAACAGTCTGACGATGTTAGTTAGCACCATGGAGTCTAAGAAGTGGGAGCGTCTAGAAACTGGTAGATAAAAGTTTAAAATGAAAATACCTGAAATAATCTCCCTAGAGGCAACCAGTAGAGTTAGTGAAAATGGCTCTTAGTCTGCACTTCAATTGCTGCTTAAACTCTCTCCCACTCTGTGTGCATCTCCTTCCTCAAATCCCGACTTGCCAGGTGTTCCTGGAGCTCGGTGCCCTGTGGCCTCTCCCACTTTGGCCCTGAGTTACAGAGTAAAAACTGCTTCTGGCTCCTTCCGAGTATGCCGCTTTTCACCTAGCAAAAGGCCTTGTAATGTGTCCTATGATTTTGATGTTTTTTGTCCATGGCCTGGAGGGCCTAGCGAGAGTGGTGACAGTGATAAAGGGAAGCACCGAGCCCTGGTGAAGCCTCGACTTTCAAAGAGTAAATCTCATGTTGTGTTGCAAACAGAACAGTTTTCCCACACTTTGAACTCAGTCTCAGGATCCTCTTCTTGAATTGGAAGAGGCTTGCTGAGGAAGTCTGAGGTTGTAAGGACTCTTTCGGTTTCACATCAGGTTGTCACATCTGCCGTTATCATTGACCACCTTGAAGCTGAAGGCTCTGTGGTTGTCTGACAACCAGTCCCAGCCTCTGCTCACCTTCCAGACAGATACAGACCGCACCACAGGAGAGAAGATCCTGACTTGTGTCTTACTTCCTCAACTGCCTTCAGAACCTACCTGTCAAGGTGAGTTCAAGGGCAGTGTTTCCCATGGCCAGGAGAGAGAGTAGAAGCAAACCTCCAGCAGTGAGGCCCTTGCTCCTGAATGATAGTGTTTTGTCAGGTCTGCTCCAGACCCAGCCAAGTGACACCACTGCGGGGCTCCTTCGGGAGAGTTCTTCTGCACCCTTGCAGAAAGAGGGCCACTCACACCTCTTTAAAATTTTAGGAACAGCCTTTTGGCTTTGAATGATATTAATACTCCTTAAAAGAGCACCAGTCTCTTAAAATTCGAACTGAGAGTTCAGAGGGTTAGCAGCACTGTTTTCAAGCCAGTGAGTCATTTCGAGTCACTGTATATTTGTTCTCTAAATTATATGGCTTTAAGAAAACATTCATACGAATATTAAGATGCTATTATAAACCCTTTGCTGAGAGCTGGGTCCAATGGAACCGGAGTGCCCTTGGTGAGTGAGGGCTCCAAGCAGGAAGAGTTTGAAGCCACCTTGCCAGCCCCAGCTACTGGGTGGGCATTTTAAAGCCATAAGAGAAAAAAATGAGGGAAATTTCAAGCATCCAATGTGTGTGGTCACATCAGTGTAGGAAAAATTGTGCAGTTATTGTCTAAAAGGGAATTATAAAAAAGGACTTCAAAATTATTGATGTTCTATAATGAAATAAGAAATATATCAATTTAGTAGGTATTTTGTATGATCTCAAATAGAGTTGTATGCCATTAAAAAGAAAGGGAACCCTGCTCAGGCCCTTTGTTATTTTTGATATTTGTTGTCATTGTTAATGAAAAACAGACTCAGAGGTTGAGACAGCAGTTTTTTGCCCTCCTCATTTCTGGTGTCACACCTCTGGCTCTCCACACGCGTGTGTCTCATAGGCCGTGGAGTTGCAGCATTTCATTGCCAGTCCGCTGATGTGATCTGTGTCCCTGCAGAGAACCTGCCGCGTTGTGGTGCCCTGGAGAGCCTGGTAAATGACGTCTCCAATGATTCGTGGAGTGAGCGTGCAGTACACAGAGTTAGTGCCATCCGATTTTTGGATGATGAAAAAGATGAAGAGGACAATGAAACGGTATGGAAATAGAGATTCTCTTCTTTTGTGGAAGTTCACATAAAAGCCTTCCAAGATGGAGAATGGCACTCAGTAAAGATTTTCTTTTGTTGTCTCATAGTATGCCCTCTGATTTGCCTTGAACATTAGAAATTTTTTTAAGAAAACAAAGCTAGGTACTTCTGGGTACTGAGTCACAAAATGTAAACAAGGCAAATGGAACTTTTGTTACTTTTGTTGATGTTATTTGAATAGTTTATGGAGCTTTTTCTCCTTTGTGGAGCTTGCACACCTGCCCCTGTCTGTTTCTTGAAATTGGGGCTTTTCTTCTTCTGTAAATGAAGTCCCTTCCCGTCCTCTCCCCACATCTGGCTGTGCCATGTCGACTCCATTCCCATGTCATGATGCGACCACGTAGCTGACTTCTGTCTTCTCCACATAACCAGGCTCCCTTAACCTTCACGTCACATGCTTGTGTTCTTAGTTGGAAACCCTAACAGGTTTTCATCCAGAAATTGGGAGTCAGTTGGAAATACTGTAACTCCTCGCCCTTCTTTCAATCATGTTTTAAAATGTTTCTGACAGCCAGTCTCTCCAGGAGTCAGTGACAGCTCTTGACATCTTTCTTCTAGTTGACTTTGGCTTTTGAAATTCCTTGCACTAATCAGAATTTTCCTAAGCAGTGTTTAGAGGGAGTCCTGGCCACACCCAGACAGAGGTCAGTTTTTCATTCCCTTCAGACAGTCCTTGTTATTTCAGCTGTCACCAGATGGGACTTGAAGCATTTACAGTAGTAGAGTGCCCAGTGGGCACTGGGGATGACAAAGTGACTGCGTCCTCAGCGTCTCCTTAGTGCCCACTGTGAAACTTGCCAGAGAGCAGTTATCTCCCCAGTTACTCCTGGCCTCAATAATGCTCATTTGGTGTTCCGTCTGCCCAGTGTGCTTCCTCCTGAAGTTCCAGCATAGATCACTTTAGAGGTGTAAATCCCGTGTTGTGACACACTAAATGACAGAAAGTTTTAAATATTTTCCACACCTTGTCACTTAACCTCCAGCACTGTGGTTCATTAAAAGAATATGACCTTTCTTCAGTGGGTCATATAAATAGCATGCACAGCACCAAAATAAGAAATGAAATCCCTCTCTCAAGCTTTCTTTTCACTTCCTATGCCTTGAGGATTAAAGGAAACCAAGACTGCTTTGGGGACAGAACATTATAGTGACTTTATTCAGGACTTTTAATTATTTATTCATCTGTCTTTTTCTTCTACACCTCATAATTACATCTTAACTTTTAGATTTTTTTGTTTATAGAAACTTTATTTTATACTAATCTCATAGTTCAAAAGTGTCCTTTTGCTTCTACTATGACTAGACAAGTTATATGAAGCTCTTTTACCTGCCATTAACTACCCATGAGTAGTGGAAAAATGCACACAGCTCTGAAGAAGGCTTTTCCACCCACACTAACTTGTGTTTGCTAAGACTGTAAGATTTGCTTGGAGTGCTAACTCCTTGAAGCTGTGTATTTTGAAAAAATAATGGAATGAAAGCAAAACACTCAGTGTACTGTTTATTTTCAGAGAACGCTTCTAAGGCGAGCCACTCCGCACCCAGGGGAGCTGAAGAACATGAAAAAGACAGTGGAGAATTTACGGAATGATATGAATGCTGCTAAAGGACTGGATTCGAACAAAAATGAGGTCAATCATGCTGTTGACCGAGTGACCACTTCTGTGTAGAACGTCACCACCGGGTCTTACCTCCTGTGTCTTCCCCTGGTGTCCAGACATTCCTCTGCCTCCCAGGAGCCTCAGCATCCTCTGTCCTCACCATCACCTGCGTCACCTCCCGTCTGGGTCCGGACGCTGCTCTCTGTCCCAGCAAGTGCCTTACTTGTTCCTGATCCAGTCACCGCTTCAGTGGTCTCCTGGCTTGGTGTTTTGGTTTTGTTTTTTTTTAATATTGGTTGTTGGTAATAAGTAGAATACACTACTGTAAACATCTGACTGTCATTTTTGTCTTATGTTGGGGTGAGAGAGAGCAGGAAGGAGAATGATTATCCTCTTCCCTTCCATACAGGGCTGGGACATTTTGAACCCAAATTCTCTTGAACTTATGATGAGAAGTAGTTTTGTGTACAGGGAAAAATTGATACTTTTTAAATCTTTTTTGGCAGCTCAGATGGTGTAAATTTTAAATTTTTGTATAGGTATTTCATAACAAAAATGTGTATTTCTTTTTTGTTATTTTATCTTGAAAACGGTACATATTTTAGGATTTATGCAGGAAAAAAAAACAGTCCTAAAGTATTTGTTTCTAATTGTACCATCCACTTGTGCCTTACTGTGTCCTGTGTCCTGTCAAACCAGTTGTGAACAGTGGCATCATTGAGCAGTGATAGGAGAATGGGAATGTGGTACTTTTTAAGCAGTGTTGGATTTTAATCAGCAATCTACTTGGTGGATTTGTTTTTAACCAAAAAGATGAATTACCAACGATGTGTAAATTATATTGGTTGATGTTCTGAATGATGAACCAAAGGATTAGACTGCTAATAATTTCTTACACTTTGCCTTTTCATGAATAAGTTGTATTTTTTAAAGAGTGCAGTGTCAGACTGTGTCCACTCCAAAGGCATGTGCCATTTGTACAATAAAATAGAGCCGAAAAGCACAAAAAGAGAAAACTGGTTCAGAAATTCAGTGTATAAATTATGTACTGCAAAACAAAGTGATTCTTACTGAATACAGCTTTAAAAGTTTTATATACAGATATAAGACCACAGTATAGTAAAATAACTTATACTACCATAATAGAAATGTTGCTATCTTGATAAGTGCAATTTAATTTGTAAATAGAGTTTGGATCAAAATATAACAAAATACCGCTTCAAGACTTAATTTTAAATCTGCTAATTTAAGGGTTATGAGGGTATGTTTTAGTGTGTTTCTGTTGATTTTTGTATGCTGTGATAAATGAGAAATGAAAAATGCCAGTCACTGTGGGAGAATCGTGGGTTTTTTTAAGGGAGGGGGTTTTTCTCCATGAAATAAACTTAGCACGGACATTGGCCATATGGCTTTTTAATAATTATTACTTTGTGTGTTCAGACGATAGCAGATATCTTAGCTCTCTGTTTACACACTCGCCTCCATTAAGTGTCAGGACGCCTCAGTTCCAAGTAGGCCCTGGTTCATGACAGTGCTCCCCGTTCTGTTCTTCACCCAGGAGGGACCAGCACTGCTGCCAGCCCTGCGCTCATTCTGGATTGTGGCAGTCTGGCCCACTGGACTCCTTAGCGTCCACATACAATACCTGCTGTTACTTGTGTATATCTACTCTGGATTCACTTACCATTTTAGGTTGAGTGTATGCATATATTTATGTATTTTTAAAACTTCTTTATTGTGCAGAAGTACCTAGCACTTAAGTGGTTTGGCTAGTCAGCTTCATGCTTTGCTCTCTAATACATGGAGATGGATTAGGACTGTCTCCTTTTCAAGATTTGGCTCGTAGGCTGATTATGGAAAAACAAATAGGTCCTACTTAAGAGATTTTGACACTAAAGAACAAATTGATTTTTGCTTTTTTTTCATTGACAACCCACTTTTTAGCACTGTTTTTCATGGCTGTAGTGATAAAGGTGCACAGAATGGTGTGTGCATGCTTAAATTCTTCCGGAAAATATGATGTATCTAATCTTTTGGCCTGTTTTCTTTATTTCATTTTCACTTGGTCTGTTTCATTTTGATCCTTTATGTTGGGTGACCCTATAATGCTGTTTAATTTCAGGAAGGTGGAACCAAACTTACTTAAGCTGCATAATGGATTAACACCAACAAAACAGTCCCAACTTGAGTCTCATGCCTTTTTCTAGAAGGAACACTTAATTCTGTGAAAACGTGCCTCTCCCTTGTGAGGCTGCTGGCCCTTCCTTGAGGGCGTGTGGGAATGGTGTCCAGCCTGCCTGCCTGTCTTGTGGGGAGGGGCAGGAAAAGCAGGTCAGAAGGACCTGTTCACCTGCTTTTTTTCAGAGCCCCTTTATTTTCTATTTCTAGCAAAGAAACTGTACTTGAGAGGATAACATGCTGAAAAAAAAATTGGAGGTGAAATAGTCATTGATGATGAAAAGAGGGACCAATAAGAAATTCCAAAACAATTGCCTGGATGTTGCCTTTTTTCTTGAAAGTTTGGAGTATTTTTTCTTACCACCCCTTTTAATCTAAAAACTTACCTGAAAATTTGCTGGCTGGCTGCTCTGGCACAGCAACCCTTCTGCCACACCCAAAAGACAGGCTTAATGGGTGGGTGGAGGCTGGGAACATTCTTTGTGTCAGAGAGTGCTGTAGCAGCCAGTCCTGCCCTGGTGTGTGTGCGACAAGGGGTCCTGCACAAGACCTGCTAAGGAGAAGGTGAACAAGGATAGCAGCTTGGTGACATCCTCTGAGAGTTGAGATCTCAGCTTCCCGAGTTGTGGCTGGCTTACCTCATCCAGTTTCTCAAAGAGCCGATTAAACAAAATGAAACTTTTTATTATGGGAAATCAGAGCATACAAATGTAGAATCATGTAATGTACCTTCTTGTACCTGTCATCCCCTTTCAACAGTTATCAACACAAGATCAGTACTGTACTAAGCCTTTTAAAAGGGAACAAATTATGCTTTAAAACACATTTGTAAGAAGTTGCCTGCATAATGAATTTTTTTTTAAGTGCAGGTGTGCCTTTTAAAATAGCACTTTGGGTTTAAAAGTTTTGAGTCAAATGCTTATGGGTGTGAATTTGAATCCCAGACTTGCCACATGGATTCAGATAAAGTATTTAACCTCTCTGAGCCTCATGTCCTTCCTCTCTAAAATGGAGCAGAATACCTCATGGAATGCTAAATAAATACTAAGTAAATGGAAGGGATAAAACACAGGTCTCAGGGGCCGCTGTGACAGGTCTTGCTGCTGTTATTAGTATCCTCCTGGTAGTAACAGCTCTGCCAGTTCCTAGCATATGGTATGAGGAGGAGCAAGAACACATGCTGTGATAGAAAACCACTTGATAACTTTCTCAACTGTAGTTTTACATATAGATCGCTGAGTTACATAATGGATGAACAGAATTATAATTTGTCCAGTACTTACTTAATGGTACGTTTAACAGTCACTCTGAAACCTTATTTCAACTGGACTTAATAAATAGCTATCCTAAAGATAAAACTAGTTTCTACCAAGAAACCGTTAGACATCTAATTGAGAAGAGAGGATTTCTTTTCCACACAGTGCCCCCTTAGCCATGTCATAAGATCGTAACTTTCTGCTTTGTCACTTCTCACGGCTTTTATGGATTAGGGGACAAGCAGAGGAACAACTGCTGGAAAAAGTAAGTGCAACTTGCGCTGGGAGTGCAGAGCACACTCCGATATTTGTGGGGTGTCTTCCTTCTAAAAGCAGACAGCTGCTAGGAAAGAGAAAGCAACCCAAAGAACCTGGTGTGGTTACTTTGGCATGCTGTGTGGAGGGTTGGAGATGCATCTGTATGCCTGCAGGTTGGCCACAACTGTGTAATTCACAGTGTGAGAGTGGGCAGTTACTGTGTTACTGTGACGGGTGTGGACTTCAGCCAGGGATTCTGGGATTCTGACCAGGCAAGAAGTTTGATTCTTCAAATTTCTTTTGAGGTATTAACATTTAACTTCTAAACAATGAGCTGCCTCTGGGTAGATAAGGTAGTAGCTGCTAGTACACGAACATTTACTGAGCACTTAATAGGTGCCCCACATTGAACTAAGTCTCAACTAAAGTCTCAACTTTCCAGAACAGTGGCACAGGGTAGGTATTGGTGCCATTTTCAATTTGCAAGGGAGAAAAGATTTACATAAGTTGTTGTAATTATTCCAAGACCAAACAGTAAATGACAATGGAATTTAAATTCCCACCTCTGTTGGCTAGCATCTGAGGTTCCAATGACTCTTGTATTTTGCTTTGCCTTCCACCCGCAGCCAAAATTCTGTGTACCTGTAATTACACTGAGAGTTATATTGAGGATGGTTCTGTTGTGCTTTATCAAGGTGCCTGAGGCCTAGATGAAGAGATTGGCATGGAGTGCCTTGACTTGGCCCTTCACTTGTGCCGAGCCCTGGCTGCAAGTTCAGGGACTCTCCGCCCTCCACCTTCCCACCCAGCCTGTCCTGCTGTCCCTGGTGAGTACTCTGCACATGCTTCTGACCTTTTAGCTCTTGACCTTGTGCCAAATCATAAGAAACCTGGGAGATGAGTGGGTGACCACAAAAATGTCCCTGTGTTTTCATTACTTACTGGAGTGACAGCTTAGTACCCAGCTCTCTAAGAAAGCTTTAAAGTGTCCCAAAAATGGTCACTTAGCTCTAGAATGAGCTAATTAGTCAGGAATGACTTCTTAAAATCTTTGCTATCTTTAATGCCTGCCCTTGGAGAAAAGACAGATAATGAACACTTGGAAATCTGTGATGCTGCAGACTATCTTTCATGCAGTTTAGGGGGCATAAAAAAGGTGACTCATGATTTATTATTTAAAATCTTTCTTTTAACAAAGCATTGTTGTCAAAGATTTGGCAAATACTGCTTGCTCTTATTTAGGAACTCTCTTAATTAAAGAAGCAGAAGGCAGGAAGAATACAGAAAACTCGTGTGATTGCGGTGGTAGAACAGGCTGCACGTGGCAGGACACTAGGTTCTCCCAGATACAACCCTATGACCCTGCAGCCAGTATAGCAGGCAGGCAGACAGTCTGTGGGCCTTTCCCAAGGTAAGTCAGAGCGATGCTTGAGTCCCTTAAGAAAGCAGCTTGCAGAAGAACGTTGCCCAAGCAAGCACTCCCCAGGACAGCACTTCACCCCGGGCCTGCAGGAAATTGGTTCCTGTCTGCACCCTGAGTGTCCCATGGCCTTTTCACACACCTGGTGCCTGCTCCCTGCCCTCCGTCAGCTGGAAGTGTGAGTGCTTGTTTGTTTAAACCTTGCTGAGCAAGGCTTGGAAAAACAAAACATCATACTTGTCCAGGCAGTGAGTGTCTTCCTGCAGTCTCATCCTGGCCTTTGGCCCTGGGCGCAGTGGGTGGGGTGAGTTTCGGTGTGAGTTTGGCAAGTTTCAGCAGCAGGCCGTGGGCAGGGTCTGTCAGGTGGAGGTTGCCTGTGGTTTTCGTCGTTTTGGAACATGTGAGGATAAGGAGCATTGCCGAAGATGGCTGGGGAGTCGTCATGCTCCCACACTGCTGTCCTTGTCACAGGGATGGCAGATGCATCTGTGCAGGCACTGACGGTGTGACACACCCCTAAAGGCCTCATCATCAGCATTCTCACCTGGACCCCAAAATATGTGAATTTAGCAGACTCTCCAGGAGGTGAGGTGCCTTCTTGATGTGAACTCCCTCCCTTCCCCTTTTTTGGGTGTCCTGGGTCCTAGGTAGAAGTAGCCCTGCGAAATCCAGGGTTTGTCACTTGTGGTAACCTGGCCCTGGGCAGACCATCTAGCTTCCTATCTTACACAGGCAAACCCACGTGGTAAGAAGCAGTATCAGTGACCACACAGGGTGCTCGGGATGGGGCTAGTCCTCTATCCACAGCTGCCTGTGGTAGTTTGCATTGCTCTTTAAAAAATTAGCACAAGGTGGGATCCAGAAAGATCAGCTCTCAAGATGCCAGTCTCTGCCTCCACCCTTCAGGCATGATCAGGGCCATTGAGCACAGCTGAGCTACAGTGCTCACCGTTGTGGAGCCTGGCATCTTCTGTAGTTCCAACCTCGATGGGTTCAGACCTGTGATCCTCCTGCTTCAGTCTCCCAGAGTTAGCTGGGATTATGGCTTGTACCACCTCTCCTGGCTAGTACCCTCCTTCTCTTGAAGGCAGAATTGTGCAGTAGTTCCCAAATTTGAGCATGTGTCAGAATCCCCTGGTGACCATGTGAAAGCAGATTACTTAGCCCTGGGCCCAGAGTCCCTGATTGGTGGAGTTGTGGGGAACATGCTTAGAGAACCACTGCTAAATTGCCCAGGCTGGCCTCCAACTTGGATTCTTCCTGCATCAGCCTCCAAAGCAGCTGGGATTA